CCCCGGGTTAAAGCTGAAGTCTGAGCACCTTAGCTTTGTGATGTCCTTATGGTATTGGGCTCCAGGCAATGGCCTTGCTTGCTATCCCCCAACACCAGTTCTGGTTTTTATATGCAGAAAAACAGCTCCTGAGGCGCAGGTGGCTGTGGAGTTTTTATAGCATGTTGGCGGGGGGCTCAGAAAGAAAAAGGTTGGGAAGGAGGAAGAAGTAATTCAGGGAATCCCCCGAGAACAGCGTGCGACATCTAGATGCAGGCTAGCTGGACGTAGATTTCCCTGGGCTCCACTTCCAGTCACAGCTAATGTCTCCAAGCTTTTCCTCTTCTCTAGGGTGTTCCCCAGAGTCCCCCTAGACTGGTCAGGACTCTCCCAGGCCTGGTCACTGCAGAGGGGCAGCTCTTTTCAAAAGAGCTCAGCATGCTTATATAGGAGGGGGATGTGTTCTGCTCCTGCTGAGGCGCCAGTCAGGAGTGTACTTTCTGTAGCATTCCATTCCCACTGTGATGCTTGTAGCCAGAGTTTCCCTAGGGCACTGAGTTCTCTTGGAAATCTACCCCTTTGTTGGTGCCCACTGAGCTTTCTCGGAAAATCTAACAAACAAATAAAAAAAGACAGAATGCTGTTAGCTCTGGGTGAAGGGGCCCCAAGTTCCTAACACCTTTGAAGCAAGAAATACTTCCCCCCAGATCAGAGTGCCCTCTCCTGGGCCAGAGAAGTCCCAGCCCCCAGGAGCTAGGCCCTTCCCTTGTTGACTGAGCGATGTCAACATCCTCTGTTCCACGTTGCAATTAGCCAGTACATACACACACCCGTAGCGTGCTGCTGGTAATACTCTGCCCATGGGGCTAGATAAGGTTTGCCAAGGTCACCCTGGCCCTGTAGGCTGCTGAGGAAGAGACTTGGAGCCCTGTGCATTCCATGCATCCCCCTCACTCTGGTAATAGATCAGGCAGTGCTAAGGCCAGTGTACTGTCAGAATCCACGAGCCATAGCACATGTATTGGGTGGGATGGGAACTTCCGCTGGGCAGATGAACATAGCCGGTTGTGTAATATCCCACTCCCCAAAGAATTGAAAAGTCACTGCAACTGGGACTGGCGTCTAGTTTGGTCTCTTTAAATAGCACCAGCCGCTGTGTTGGGCAGGGAGAGGTCAGGACAGGAGTAAGGGGCATGGGTGGAGCTGTTTGTGGGGAGCCTGGGGCAGAGTGGGTTGTGGGTTGGGATTATGGGGCATTGGCAGAGCCCGGGTTAGAGGAAACCCAGGCGTAGAATAGCGGGGGGGGGGATTCTGCAGGATGAGACCGAGCAGCAGCATTGCTGCGAGAAGATCCCATGTTTGTTCCTCTCTCCCCTTCCCTGTGATCTTAGAGCTGAGCTAGGTGGGCTGGGTCTTTCTCTGCACAGAGGGGTCTTTCCTGACCCCTTGGTGCGGGATCAAGTGCTGAGATGCCAGAAAGGCTAAATTAGAAATTGCAGGGGGGGTGGGGTCAGGGGCTCCATCCTGCCCTGGCTCAGGGATTGTGTGTCAGAAATTTCCCCCTTCTCTGTGAAGAGGATCAGCAGCTGAGTTTGTCCTCTCCGTTTCCTGGATACCCTCTTGGCCTGAGCCTGTGAAAGCTCCTTTCATGCCTGGTGACTGCTGTGGTTTCATGGTGCTACCTGTAACACTAGCTGCCCTGTTGGAGAGGGGAGGGACCTGATGCAGGGAACTGTCTGGCCAAGCCTGCTAGCAGCAGGGACAGAGCCAGCCTTTGTCCAGCTGCACAGCTCCCCCCCACCCCACCTCCCTTCGCTGTGGGCCTGGGATACTAGAGATTTTGCTCATCCTACCGGGGCTCAGCTGAAGCCAGGGAAGCATCAGAAGACACCTCTCCATAACTAAACCATTCTCCACTCTGTCCCTCTGAAATCTCCCCAGCCCTAGGGATGATCAGAGATGGAGGCTAGCCTCAGTGCTTCCTCTCAGCACAGTTGTGGGTCCAAGTATCAGGTGGGAGGGATAGACCATGACTGCACGCCCTGGCCTGCTCCTGCAGTTACAGCTAGTTAAAATCTGACCTCAGTGAAGCTGGGGGCACTTCTGCTGCCCTCACCCTGGAGCCCAGGATACCAGGTCATTGTGATAAATGAGGATTGAATTCTGAATGAGGGGCAGTGACAGTTCAGGCGTGGGTGTGTTTGCCATTTCACCCCGGTACCTACGGTTGGGCCTAAGGGTTACCACACAAGCATGTGTCCTGTGCTGCAAGAGAGTCTGATGAAGGGAGCAGAAGTGGCATTTCTGTGGAATGGAGTTAAGTCAGTGATGCCCTAAATGTTGCTAGCAAGACCCCAGCCTACACAGAAATGTTGCCTCTTCCTTAGGTAAGCCAGGGTAAATGAACCATCCCTCTGCTACCTCTGCACCAGTGTTGCAGCATGTGCTCATGCGTATAAACCAGGCTCAGACTCTTCCCCAGAAAGGAGCAGCAGTTGAACTTCTCTCACGGTTGGGAATTTCTGGTGGTAATCAGGGAATTTCCTGCAGAGATGGAAGTGTCTGTCTTGAACAGGTCCTTTGGGAGTCTCCTCCTAAGGCTGTCTGGAAAAGGGAAGTGCCCCCCAGACCTTTCCCCAAGAAGGAAGGGAAGTTGTGGGGTGGCCGAAGGCAACTTTCTTTCCTGTCTTTAATGCCCTGTTAGGCTACATCTACACTGGCGTGATTTTCCGGAAATGCTTTTAACGGAAAAGGTTTTCCGTTAAAAGTATTTCCGGAAAAGCGCGTCTAGATTGGCCACGGACGCTTTTCCGGAAAAACTTGCCAGCTGTCTACACTGGCCCCTTGAATTTCCGGAAAAGCACTGACGATCTCATGTAAAATCATCAGTGCTTTTCTGGAAAAACTATGCTGCTCCCGTTCGGGCAAAAGTCTTTTTCCAGAAAACTGTTCCAGAAAAGGGCCAGTGTAGACAGCACAGTAGTGTTTTCTGCAAAAAAGCCCCAATCGCGAAAATGACAATCGGAGCCTTTTTGCGGAAAAGCGCGTCTAGATTGGCAGGATGCTTTTCTGGAAAAACTATGCTGCTCCCGTTCGGGCAAAAGTCTTTTTCCAGAAAACTGTTCCAGAAAAGGGCCAGTGTAGACACAGCCTTACTGATACAGCCTCTAGGCTGCTACGGGTTACGTGATCAGCATAGCCCTGATACTACAGGGTCCCCCTATGGAGGCCCCCTTGAGCTGTGGTGTCCAGCATGCTAGCCATTAGCCACATGTGGCGAGTTGGCCGGTTGAGTGTGGCTAGTTGGCTAGAGCCGTTGCTACTGTTGTGGCTATACTTCCAAACTTGTTGGACACCTCAGCCCTAGAAAGGCCATCGACACACCTTTGTTATAATGAACACTTTTACCCTTCCTGACCCCTTCCACGCAAGGGCCCCACAGCACTTGAGACATTAATTCAACCTTTCAGCCCCAGTAGGAGATCATCATCCAGAGAAACCGAGGCACCAGCTGGTGAAGGGACTTGCCCAAAGCAAGTCAATGGCTGCCAGGAATAGACCCCCAGGGATCCTGACAGCCTCAGTGTTCTGATCTAACATAGCAAGTGGCTCTGACCCATGGGTGAGTGCCTATGTAGGAAGTAGTGATTTTGGGGCTGCAGCAACCCCAGCATCTGCTGATCCAGACCCCCACCTGGCACACAGGTCTTGTTCCAGTTCTGGTAATGTAAGGCTGCCTCAGGATACGAGATGTCACGTTGGCGTAAGTTACCAGGGAACGGGAAAATCTCGCCGCAGTTTGAGGTGTGTCCTGGTGAAATTCCATTCAGCCTCCCCACCTCCAGTTGGGTCTTGGCATCTTCAGGGCGATATTGGGCCTATCCCATGGGGGGAGAACACCAGTCAGTCCTTGTGGACCCATGCTGAGTTAATGCTGGCAGAGCAGTGGGCTGGATACTCCAAAACAGGGCGGTGGTAAAATCCTCACCCCATAGGCCTGTGGGGAAGTTCCTTCCTAAGCCAGAGGCTGTCTCCGGCCTTGAGGGTGAGCCGTGGTCATTTCCTCTCAGCTCTGGTTAGTGGCCTCACATGTTCTAAGCTGCGTGGGTCTGGTCCCCATGTGGTGAGGTCTCCGCCCACTCTCCCCTTTTCCCCACATGGCCACTTCCCTGTGCCGCCCTTCTCCTGCTGCAGCAGGATGTCTGAGGGGGAGTTCCCAGCTGGGCCCTTCCCCTCCCCTGGGCCACAGCTGCTGTTTGCTTTTCAGGAAGGAGCTGAAATAGCCGCAGGGTGAGAGCTGCTGCTTCCACTTTGTGCCCCGCCCCTAGAAGTTTTGGCTGAAAATTAAACTCGTGCTAGTGAGAGTACCAAAGAGGAAAAGTATTTGGAGCTGGTGTGTGTGGAGTTGTGTCGTTAGTACTGTATTCTGATGCAGTCGGGATGGTGAGAGATGCAAACACCCCAGCTCCTAAAACCAGAGACGACAACATGCGTGGCCCTTGTGCCATTGACCTCCAAGTGCTCCATGCACTGGAATTGTTTCACCTACTCCCCAAAGAGCCACCTCCAGGGCATGACGCAATAGCTGCTTGACAGCAACACTGGAGGAGACGGGAAGAAGATGCCAGGACCCAGTTGGAGGTGGGGAGGCTGAATGGAATTTAGCCAGGACACACCTCAAACGGCTGCGAGATTTTCCCGTTCCCTGGTAACTTCCGCCAATGTTCCATTTGGGCCCACCTGTTGCTCGGGGTCACATGTTGCAGATGCACCTGAGCAACTCCCACCCAAAGAAAGGGGAGGGGATCTTCCTCTCCCAGCTTGCAGCTGACTTGGTGACTGGGAAGGATGAGAGTCAGTGGAAGGAATGTTCTCAAATCTGAGCTGCTCCCTCCGTTTGTCAGTGTGCCCAGTGGCTCCAGAGCTGTGTGAGGGGTGGGGAAATCTGCCACGGGCTCCATGTCCTGTGGCACGTCCCTGATGTTACTGGCTGGGCTAGTAGCCGCCCTGTAGCTCACCAGGTGGAACGTCATCTCTTGGCAGGTGGTGCCTGGCAGCCGTGCTGGCTGCTCTCCCCGCCATGGCTGCCAGCGAAGAGGTATTGGCTGCCCTGCAGGACTCATGGGGGGACTTCTGGCTCTTCCGTTTCTTCGTCAATGCTGCAGGCTATGCAAGCATCATGGTGCCAGGGTTTCTGCTCATTCAATACTTCAAGAGAAAGAATTACCTGGAGACTGGTAAGAGGAAACCAATGCACCTCAGTTCCAACCTCCATCCCCTTGGGCTATTTCAGTGTTGGCTCCCCTCACACTTCCACTATCATGCCTCAGTTCCATCCCCCGGCTCCTCTACCACTCTGCTGCTCCAGCCCTAAGCCCCTGGCAGAACTCTCTGGCTGTTTCAGAGCCAGCTAAGGGCTACCCAGAGACAGCCAAACTCATCTAGCTCATCTCCAGAGCTTTATCTCAGCTGCGACCGCTGTGACTGTTTCCTTTAGATATAGGGCACTGTGGGTAATGTGCAGAGCCCCTCGCATCTGCAAACGGGTGAGCTTTTGGCGCTGGGAGCCTGCCCTACTCTGTTCTTAGCTGGGAGGGGCCCTGTTGGCAAAGGGGGATGGGGAATGTGGCTGGGCAGCGTGTGAATGAGCCAGTTGAAAGTGCTTTATAGATACAGCCCATACAAGAAGGTCTCAGGCTTTCCCCTCCTGCAGCCCAGGGAGGTTGTTGGGTGGGTTAGCACTGGCAGAGGGGCTTAGGAGAAAAGAAACACTCCCTCCTGAGTTAATGTGGCCTCCCTGGTTCTCTCAATCCCCCAGGCCGCGGCATTTGCTTCCCTGTCATCAAGTCCTGCATCTTTGGCAGCGAGGCCAAGTCTGCGCACCCAGATGACAGCTCCCTGGCATCCCGGAATGAAACCATGGAGTCTTCAACAGCCCGTCAGGTTTTCAAGCTTCTCTTCTGTGCTGCTGGCCTCCAGGTAGAGCCTCAATGTGTTCCTAGCCATGCTGCCATGGGGCAGAGATGGAGAGAGGCCCTGATGCAGGTTGCCAGTTGGAGGCCTTGAAAGACTGAGTCCCAGCATCCAGTGTTCTCTTGGAGTTTTGCCTGGTCGCACTGCATGCAGGGGCATGTTGTCTCTGGGCTCTCTCCGTTTTGTTGGCTCCAGTCTGGTTGCCAGCGTGGTCCATTGAGTGGCTTGGTGAGCCAGTGTCCGGTGAGCTGGAAGATACTGTCTGTCTGTCCCTCACCCCTCCGCACTGTGCTTCATGCGTGAGTAGTATATAGTTTAATCCTATGTTCTCCCCTCTGGGGCTGGAATGTCCTACCTATGGGCAGAGCCTGAGCATAGGTTTTATTAGGAAATTGAAAAAAATCTTTCCAGTGTTTAAGTTAATCTGAGGTAAAGAGGAAACCGATCCTGCTTCTTTGAGTCACCGCTGCAGGAAACATGCCCAAAGTGCAGCCTGAACAATGAGAGGAAGGGCGCCTTGTAGTGAAGGCACTGGATGGGGATTCAGGAGATCAGCATTCAGTTCCTGGTTCTGTCATAGGCTCGCAATGTGATTTAGGACAGGTGGCTTTATCTCTCGGGATGGCAGTTTCCCAGTGGTACAGTGGGAGGTAGGAGAATGACTCCATTATATCTGTGAGGAGCAGCAGGGCCATGTAACCCTAGATCAGGGTGGGGAACCTTTTTTGAGTCGAGGGGCCACCCACCCACAGAAAAATCAGTTGTGAGCTACACACAAGTGAGAAACAAAAAACCAAAACCAAATCATCAGTGACGTGGTGCCCACCTGAGAAGGAGAAAGACACTCCCCACATTCCCCTCGCATACCAGAGCCTGGGGTGCGGCCCAGCCTAGTAGATTTTGTGAGCTCCAGCCCTGCTGTGATCCAGGGAGATATCAGGGGGGTTGGAGTACCAGTGTGGGCTCCCCAATGCTAGAGGGAGGGGCATGAGCCTTGGGGGCTGGATCCAGGCAAGTTGGGGGCTGCATCTGGCCCTTGGGCCTGAGGCTCCCCACCCCAACCTTGATGCAAAGACGACAGTCCTCGCAGAGGGTGGATTCCTCTTCTGGGTTTGCAATTAAAATGTGGGTTTTTTTTCAATTTAAGAAATGACCTCGGACACTAAATGCAAAACACTGTGTTAATGCCCCATTATGGCTGCAGAGTGAAAGGGCAGCAGCGTGTAGCTCCTGCTGGCACCAGGGTCTTGGTCATGGCTCTGTCATGCTGCTTAGTCTGGTTTTTCTGGTTGTCCAGGCAGCTGAGTGTAGAACTGTTTGTATTGCACAGGGCGTACACGGGCAGAGTTAGTGCAAGCGCTGGGGCACTTGCTTTGCCACTTCCTGTGATGTCTGTGGCTGTAATCTCAGGAGCCAGACCACATTGTTGGTTGGGTACTTACAGCCTTAACTAGAGGAGGAGCTGCATCCAGGTGGAGCGTGTTCGCCAGGTCTTTGAGTAATGAAGCGCTGCCCAGGGGACTGGCTTTTCCCCGCCTCTCTGCTGGGAACCAAGG